GTTCCAAAAACCTCCTAACTGCCACGACTCTAATCGAGCCATAGTGAGGGGTGAAAACCAGGGAATCAAACCGGTTTGGGGTTTAATATACCGCCTTGGACTTATTAGGTCCGTGTCGAGAATAAAATATCATTTATGAAAAATTAAGAAAACATGGATGTGGGTGTATTAAATGAGAAATTTTGATATTTATGAAATATAAAGAACTTTATTGGTTATATATGATAGTTTCCCTAATTTAAATATATGAATATTACAATAAAATTTTGTTATATTATTGAAAGATATTTCTTATTTTCAGTGATATTCATATATTTATCTACACCAGATTTGCGATTCTATATTAGAAATTTCTAATATATATGCTAGATGTAAAATTATTTTTCCTTCAATATTTTTCTCAAAGTAGTTGTAATATGTATTAATTTTAAATTATAATATTACTAAAAAATCAGTAATATATTTTGCTTGAATATTGTAATAGTATTCTTATGTTTTGAGTGGAAATATACATTCGAGAACAATATTCAAATTATTATTTTTTTCAATTTTTTTTTACATAATTTTTTTTATTCTTTTGGTAGTTTAATGATTGAACACTAGGGGACTCAGGTTAATGGTGCCTCTTCAAAGTAAAATATATTGCCATGTTGTTCAGATTATAAGTAATATATAGCTATAAAATTTAGGGAAATTTATCAAAATATCTATGGGAGATGAACTGTCACACCCCAAGTTTTTATAACACTAAAACTCATGAGAAGTGACAGTTTATTCTTAAGGAACAAAACAAATTCTAAATTTTTACTATATAAATCCTCATGTTATTATAAGTTGTGAATTAGACTTTGTACAAGTTTGAAAACTTGTGAATGGAAAATTTGTTTTGGAGCAATATATATAGTAAAAATTTAGAATTTATTTTGATCCGTAAGAATAAACTGTCACTTCTCAAGAATTTTAGCGTTATAAACTTGTGGTGTGACATGAACTATTTGAACTTTTACCCATACATACTGATTTAATTTCAAATACCCACGAAAATGCATATGAAGATGAGTTGGAATAGTGATAAATGTGCAAAATATTAAATTAATATATCCCTCGTGGGTATTTTGATAAATTTCCCTAAAATTAATTCAAATGGAGTGTATGGTTGTTTTTTTAAAATTTCAGAAGATTCGTTCTATAAATTTTAACTCCATAATGTGGTAATTGCGAATAATATTTCTTTGGGACATAACATTCTATCATATGCCTAAAAGATGAGGAGGGAGGATCCAACTTGCAATGTGGCGAGAAGCTAATTGAGAACAGGAAAGGGTGAGTTTAGTGTTACTTTTGAGGGAGGGAGATGACAGGTAGCATAAATCACCTAAAACATCACCTAGTAGAAATTTGAAGCAACATACAGTTATGTGACAAGGTGCCTGTGGCAGTTAAGGAGTGTCTACAGCTGAATTATATTTACTAAAGTAGGGATATCTAAGATATATGATATATTTAAGAATATATTCTGGTTTGGATTGTGTCTTACAATGGCTAGGGATTAGTATGGAGTTGGGTGTACTGAACTAGTGTGGTCTCTATAGGTCAAATGGATTGAATTAGATACTATTTCCTATTGTTTTGGACTCATTTTCTATTCTTGAAGATTTAGGGATTTAAGAACAAAGTCAATCTCAAACTACGTTTTACAAGGAGGAGATTCAAAAGGTGATGTAGATAAAAAAAGTGAACAAGGTATAGAGACAAATGATTCTTCATGAGATAGGAGGGGATATTATTTGCCCAACGTAAATGACAAGGAGGCAAAGTTTAAGGCTCAAATGCAGCAGGCTATGCAGCTAATCTAGTAGATTAGCATGAGATGCCAACGTAAATCGACAAGATGTTTGCTAGAAGGGCAAGAGCGTCTACAGTCATACTCCAGAGCCTATAGTACCGCTTGAGCCTATGGTGCATGACATTAGAGCGTATGGCCTTGGGCTTCGTAGATCAACTTCTAAAGAGTCTTTCTCATCTCGACATATTTTGAAGATAACCCTATTGTAGATACTCCGATCCTGATTGAAAAGATTGTGGGATACCAAAGTACCATAGACAAATCACCCCGATACTTGAACCACTCACACTCATCCTGACCCATTCATAAACTAGCCCCCATGAGACTTGATATTGTTTCGACAAAGCTAAAAGCACTCTAGGAGATAAGCAAGGCAGACCACAACTCGGGATTACCAAGCCCAAAGCAATTGGGAGCAGAAGGATCTGGCGCCACTCCAAGTGGCCCCAAAGCATCTCCCAAAGCTGAAATAGAGGTGACACAGACGAGACACGACACAAAAACAACCCAAATGGAAAGAGAAAGGCCTAAGGCCATTGCCAATGGCATCAATGCCCCTTAGACCATCGTCGGGTCCTAGGCAATCAAAATTGGGATACAACCCGACATACGGCCCTAAAGTTGCATGTAGTACAGACTGACATGTATTGAAAAGTGTTGACATGTCAAATGTTAATATGGAATTGGTTGTCGACCTCGGATTCGTCGAGGAAAGGTAACATCAGCTACCATCCGTACGAAAGAGCCGGAATGACAATCTGACACCATTGCGGCTCAGAAGTGTGCCAAAGGAAGTCGGATATGCTTCAAACTTTGATTGGTCCATCAAACGTATGAAAGAATGCCCAGAAGACGACATGTGTAAGATTTCACTATGAAGCAGCTTTGACAAGCGCAGACGCCATTGCCTGTGGTGCCAAGCCTTTGACACTCCACCTGCACAACTATGCATGTACCAAGTCACATGATTAGAAAGCATTTAAAGCGCATTTAATTTTGTTGACCGCATTTGATGGTAATTAAAACGTGCCCAGTGCCATTGCCAGTGGCACTGAAGTATATCCAAAGGGCGACAGAAAATGAACGGGCCTATATTGCAACAAAAACTATCCAATGGTAGTCATAAGCTAATTTTTCATATAAATAAGGCACCTAACCTTGAGTCTAGGGCCGAGATTTTTCAGATTAAGGTGAAAGCTCTTTCAGAACAAACCCATACCTCACCCTAACTATACCTGACACAAGACAAGAGCCCTCATATCCTTCAAGCTACACTTTAATCCGAAGGCTATCCAGATAATTAGACCTTTTGGATCCCCTTCCTTATTCTCTTTTTCCCTTGAAACCCGAAAGACCGGGATTGACCATGCAACAAGCTACTCTGAATCGGCGCTAAGTCCGGGCGCCAGCCCTAGGGGCTCGGCCTCTAGTATTATTTCTCCCTCTTTTCCTCGCCTTTTACGATCATTTATTAGCTTTTATTTCATTTCATATGCTTATGTTAGTATTTATGAGTAGCTTTTAGTCTTTTTCTTATATATTTATTAGTTTTTGTTTAGTTTCATTCATTGTTCTCTTTGTTCAATGCTTTCTTTGCTTAGTTTTTATCTCTTTTATTCATTTGTTGCTTTTTTTCATTCATTCTTCTATTTCTAAAAGTTCTTTACTAAATCTCCCCCTTTCTTCATTAAAGCATCTTCAAAATCCTTTCTTGAATTCTAAGACTAAGGTGTACGGGAAGCCTGCTTTGCCGGCGGTCCGAGCAAGAGAAAGGCCTTATAGCCCCACTCTCACCCGTAACATAATTTGATGAGACCCTCTCTCTATCAACTCTTTTGATTTGTTTGCACTCGAAACCAAAGTAAGCATCGAGTGTCTTGCCTGCATTTTTTAGTATAAACATTATGTCAAATTTTATTGCTTTTAGCTTCCCATATGTATGGATGCATAAGGAGAATTTGGGACTCCCATAGCTAAAAAAATAAGAAGTAAACTAGAGACAGATTAGCAAATTTCATGAATGATTATTTCCATATACAAGTAATGCATGCAATTTTATTTCTAAATTATTATCAAATGATTAATATTTGAGCTTATTTCATGTTAGCTGTAAGTTGGGAATTATATAGATACCAAATCCCATACTTAAAAATGATCACACTTAGGATCTTAAGGCAAAGTTTGTTCCTTTCTATGGATGTGAGAAAAATTAGAGTATATTCCACTACATAATATTCCAAGGAGAAACTGGTTGAAGACAGAGAGGCAGCACGTAGTCTACAGGCACTATAATCTCAACTGAGGGAGAGGCAGCTAGAGAGGGATGTTGTTAATTGCAACCCAAATAACTTGGACTACATATTCCAAGAGGATATTAAAGCAAAATAGTAGGTGAACTGGAAGAGACCTACAATGAATAGGATAATTTTGAGGAATAGCTTGAGGATATAGATGATGATGTGGAAAGTTTAGGGACTATCGAGGAGAAAGTGTAGGAAGATGATCCCATGCAAGAGGACATGTAGGAGATAGGGTGGGGGCGTGGTGTTTGTGGGGTTGGGGTGGTGGTGGTTGGGGGTGGGACTGAGGTGGTTGACTTCCATATGAGAGAAAGAGTCATAGCTATGGCCATTGCAGTTCATTTGGTGAGTGGCCCAGTTAGTGTTTAAGCCAATGTCGTAGCATACAACGCAGCCAATTATTACAAACAAGGGGTTGATAAACAAGGCGATGAAGATGGGGAACGGTCTTATCATGATGAATTCTTCTTCTTCTGTTTTTTTTGGGGGGGGGGGGGCTATCTTGGGAGCTGGGTGAGTCTTGGGGACTATTGTTTTTATTTTTATTTTAGTAAAATTCACTATTATTTTATTTTTATATAATTTACTATTATTTTCATGCCACGTGAATCTCCTTTATCTGTAAACTTTTGTTTTCGTAGCTTTATGACAAGGCTTCATGTTTTTTGTAAACAAATTAAGCAATGTTGTCGTCGGTAATTACGTTACACTATTAAATTTTTTTATAATTTTTTAATAAAGTATTATATTAAATTTTTTGATAATTTTTATTTTGTATATTAAAAATTCAAGATAAAAGAGAGGGCAAAGAGTCAACTGCATCATAAAGAACAAAAGAAAGAGACCTCATTTATTTCAAATTTTCAACCCAATGTACGTGACACTCAACTAGAAATCACACGGTGAATAAGTACAAAAGATAAGAGGATAAGCACAACCGCCCTTTATTATGACTTAGGAGAGTACCGGTTTATATTCTGCATTGTCCAACCATCTTCCGATACATTCAATGTCAACGACTGGCACCTCTGTCAGCACCGTTTCTCCACTCAAAAGTCCCTCAAAAAGTTTGACAGACTTTGAGAAGCTATCAAAACCTCTTTCACTGATATGCCACTCGGGTTGTTTAATATATAGATTGATTTACATGCAGATCCTAATTTTTTTAAAAAACTACGAAATGCTCCATTTATATGCGACATTACAAAAGCAGGTAGATCAACTTGTTTTTTTTTTTAAATTGCCTTTCACTTTGAGGATGGAATCCTCCGTCTGAATTTAAATTATTATTATTATTTTTTTAAAACTTTTTTCGTTAATATGGCAGTGCCACAAGCTTTAGGGTAGCGTTCTACTAAATGAAACAACTAAAAATAAAATAAAATAAAGTTCGGTTAGAGGATGTTCTTAGATCGATGAACAATTTTGATAAAAAGGGTTGACCAACCTTTTTTGTAATTTTCACATATAAGTGGAGCATTTTATCTTTTGAAAACAAATTTAAAATCCATACGTAAATCACTCTTATATGCATAATACAAACATCTACATAATACAGACATATACACATTTATTATAAATTTTTTTTTATTTGGGTAATTGGCTGGTAGGAATCGAACTTGAGATGTAACATTGCTTGACATCAACGGCTAACACTTAAGCTCAAGCCCGACTCCTCTAACTCTTATTGCATGGAAAAGGCAGCTACACTCAGCTCTCATCGAAGGCCTGTGCAATTCTAATGGGATCAGGGTTGTCATTGATCCACCCATACTTCTCCATGAAGGGGTTGGTTAGGTTTTGAGCAGGATAACGGTGCACACAATCCTCCCACACGTTGTGGTTGAGGTTCTCCAAGTCCCTAACCACCTCCCAGAGGCAACTGTTGCACTTGAAGCCGGAGCCAAAGGTTAGTTGCAGCACCCTGTGCCCTTTCCTCAGCCTCTTCTTGGCCTCCATGTAGCTCAGCACGTACCAGAGGGAGCTCGCAGACGTGTTCCCCCAGCGGTGGAGCGTCATCCTAGAGGGCTCGAGGTCGTAGCGGCTCAGGCCAAGGCCACGCTCCACAGCATTTATCACCGCGGCCCCCCCAGGATGAATGCAGAAGTGCTCTACCCCGGTCTTGAAGTTCAGGCTCATGGGTCCGGATCCGGCTCCTGCCAAGAATCGGATGACCAAATAACGAAGTATTTCTTTAGTTGGCAGAATCTTGGGTCCCAGCACCTTTATCATTTTTACAATAGCTTGGGTGGCGGCTTTGGGAAGGTCCTTACTGAGCTTGACCCCGGGGCGGCCGAGGTCGTCCTCAACCTGGGACGCGCAATTGTAGGCTTCATCACTTGCGCCAAGATGGAAACGGACAAGGGTCTTTAGTAAGAGCTTCGACCGAGTCCTGTCGGCCCTGCGGTTCGTGAGTAGCATGGCGCAGCAACCTGTACGAAAGAGGCAATTCGTGAGTATCATCGATTTTTCGTTGCCGGCGTACCAGTTGGGTGCGATGCTTTCCCCAGACACGATCAGAGCCCGGGACTCAGGGCGCAGCTTAAACAGATTTTGGACGAGGTTGATGGATATGAGGCTGGCGCTGCACCCCATGCCTGAGATGTTGAATGCCTTTACATCCTCTCTCATCTTGTACCGGTTCACGATCCTCGCACACAGAGAGGGTGCCGGCCATAGCATCGACACATTAACCACCAGTATGTCGATGTCCTTCGGCGAGATGCCAGTCTTTTCGAACAAAGGATCGAGTGCTCCAATGAAGCACTGGTCCATCTCGCTGATACCGGAGTTTAGATTACAACTGTTTGGATCCCCAGAGGTCAGGCTTCTTGGGGCGTAGGTCTCTTCACCCATGCCAGAGCCGAAGACCACTTTGAGGAGGAATTGGTACTCGTTGAGGCCGAGGTTCTTGTTTCGCCTGACAACCTTGCCGCAGAGCTCGGTGTCGAGCTTCCAGTCATCCGGAGGCTTGAAGCAGACGTAGTCGAGGAGGTAGCAGGCCTGGTTCACTCGTTTGCAGTACAGCTTCCATAGTAGAATGAGGAAGTTGAGTAGCAAGAAGAAGATGCAGAGAACAAAGCAGGGACTCTCTACTGTAATCAAAGCAAAAGAGTCCATGATCGTTTCAGTAGTTTTGGGGTTTGAGAGATCGAGGAGGACAGAAGGTGTTCTTATAGAGAAGGCAGTTCAGATTTGGTACGGGAGGATTTATGAAAGACGTGCTGGGCAGATAGTGTATTGATGGTTCACGGAAATAAGAAGACCCGACTTGTTAGGCAACAACGTCCATGTAAACCATTCATGCAGAGCAATTCTAACAATTTCTGTATATCAGGAAAGATTACGTCCCTTCCATATTTAAATGTGGTAAACACGTACCGGTTGACATTTATGGAAACTTTCGAATCCTTTGGTGATCTATTTATTTAACTTTTAACGGCAAAATGATGGGTCAATTTAATGGAAAAATGGGAAAACTTTTGAATCCTGACTCACTAGCAAATTTTTTTTTTTTGTTTTTTTTTTTAAAACCCAGTCAAAAAGTCAAAAAATTGAAATTGTTTATACCCTAGTAAAAAAGTCTTCAAAAAGTCAAAAAATTGATACTGAAATGCTTTTCTCTCTCTTTCTATGTACCCACTCTCTACGTGCCCTTTCTCTCTCTATCGATCCTCTCTCTTTCTCTCTACCACTCTCTCTTTATCTCTCTTTCTCTCTCTACCTACCCTCTCTTTTTTGCCTACTCTATTTTTTCTTACTCGTTCTCTCTCTACCTGCTCTCTCTCTCTCTCTCTCTAGGCAGGTAGAGAGAGATAGAGGGAGGTAAGAAGAGAAAAATAAAAAAATATAGTGGGTAGAGAGAGATAGAGATAGGGTAGAAAGAGAGAGAAAAATATCACAGGTAGAGAGAGGAAAAGAGATAGAGAGGGCAGAAGGTGGATAGATAGAGAGAAGGCTGGTAGAGAAAAAGAGATAGAAATAAGGTAGATAGAGAGAAAAAAAAGACAAGTAGAGAAAAAAAGAGATAGAGAGGGTGGGTAGAGAAAGACAAAGAGAAAGAGAGAGAGGGTAGGCAAATAGAGAAAAGACGGCTATTTAAAGAGAGGATATTTTAGTTCCAATTTTTTTGACTTTTTATCTAGGGTAAAAGCCATAAAAAAATACTGATGAGGTTAGGAGTGTGATACTAAAGTTATTGGTGGGGGATATTCATAATTTTCCCTTTTCTTAATTCAGCTCCTCGGTCATTTTTAAAATATCTTCAAATGTAGGGACCCGGTTTGGATCCTTAGAAGGCTTTATATTTTATATTTCTTGAGTAATTTACGTTCAGACCTGAATTATTTATTGAAAATACAAAATGAGGTAAATTTAGGTATCGATCAACCCGTATTTTTTTATTTATTTCAAATTTGTCCCTCTATCCGAGGATTACATCCTCAAACTGATTTTTATTTTTAATTTTTAAAACGATATTTGAAATAAGAATGTGCCGAAGCAGTGCATCCTCATACCGCACTGTGAACACAGCAAGGCCCTAACTGGGTTTTATTTTCTTTTCTCTCTCTCTCCCAACTCTCTCTCCCTCTCTCTCTCTATCTAAACCGTTGACCGGGCCAAGTATTAACGGGAGGATTTCTCGACATAGAAGTGCGATTCTGGTGAGATTCTGATTTTTAGATGAGTTCCATTTATTTTTTCGTTTTCTTTTTTTGAAGCTTTTGAGATACTTGGATGCCTAGATTTGAAGATAGGATTCTTAAAATAGGAAGTTTGCATTCTTAAAATAGGAAGTTGCATTGTTATATTTTAGATTACAATTGAAAACGAGATGATTTAGGGTTTCTACAATCTATAATATCACCTAAAAAACTAATAGAAAAGCACTAAAACTTGTTAGTGAAAATCAACCAAACCATAAAATTCTTTTTTTAACTTATTAGGGTCTTTTTTAAGTTTAAATCTAACCAAATATCAATGGTTTTGCGTGTTATGGTTTCATTTATAGATTTAATTTATTTTTTAATTTAGTTATTCAATAATGTTTGATGCTCAATCAATCTGTAATAGCACTTAAAAAATTATTGAAAATCTCCTAAAATCGTGAGGTAAAATAAAATAAACCATGAAATTCCTTTTCTGAAATATTAGGTTCTTTTTTTAAAAATAAATAAATAAATCTAACCGAAAATTCTTTGGTTTGTTTTCTATGTTTTTAATTAGGGTGCGGTTGGTATAGGGCCTAGGCTCTAAACAATCAAATTAGATCCTACCTTCCAAAAGTGTCAAGAAATGTGGTTTCAATACTAAAATCTTTGTGATAACCTTATGATATATTTTTATCTTTATTTATAAAGTTTAAAGCTTCAAAAATGGTGTAGATCGACAAATCTGTGTAAATTTGAAAATCTTGAAAATTGACGGTCCAAAAATACGTTACAAAACACACTATTTCTAAAACTTGAAATCCATTTTTTCTCTTGTCCTTACATCTTGATGTGGAGATGGTCAATTTGAGGATATTTAGGCATCAAAACAACCTCATCTAGTGAAATTTTTGTGGTAGGCTTCAATTTGATTGTTTAGAGCCTCGGCTCTATATAAACTTTTTCATGTTAATTATACGTATAAGTTATTGTCTAATTCAGTTATTTTATAATGTACAAGCTCAAATTGAAAGTGTTTTGACATATTTCTTCATCATTCCTGTATTGAATTGCCCTATCTTGTTGCCCCCAAATCTAAGTTCGTTTATCTCCTTCTATATTCTCAAAAATTTAGGATAAATTTGATTAAGGTTAGGGTTTATTTCACTTTTTGATTTCTAATTTTAAAAGAAACATGAATATCTGAATATTGAGCATTTCTTACACTATTTATTCTATTTCATTTGTTTCATTTCTTATGCATTTGGCCCTTGTGATTTATCTTTCTCTGGTGCATTGTATTAGGTGGTTACTATTTTTCGTGCATTTTTTGGATGAAAAGTTGAAAACAAAGAAGAACAATACAATATTTGCATTCACTACAATCTTCCATTTATTATCAATCTTCCATTTTATTCTCCATTCGTTTATATTTATAATTAACTAAATGTGGAGCTCAATTAAGAAAACGAAAAATGTATAGTTGTAGACATTCCATTTTGAAAACAGTCAAATTCAATGGTTTTCTAATCTATAGACAGCCTTAAGACCATATTATCCCAGTAAACTCTTGGAACATAGACCACCATAGTTCATATTGCCTGACCTGTGATCTAGAATCCTACAGAATACTTTGTTTTAGTGAAAAAATTATTAACAATAGCAAAACACCTCCTTTTGACCTAAATTTTGGCAAGAAGCATCATAACAGCCCAAAAGTCACCCTTGACTAGAATCTGCTAATTTTGAGTAGATTTAGTTTGCGCGACACCACTGGTGTCACCCAGCTCCGACTGCCCCGAATTGGCAGTTTCCTCATGCCAACCATTCCTTGACCATTTTTTCGCAGATTAATTGAATTTGGACCCTTTTGGCATGGGCAACTTGTATTTTTACCCCAGAACATTAATTCGGCTGGAAAATCCATTTGAAATTGGCAGTTACCCATTTCAGCTGATTTTCAGCCTTTAAAAAGATGATTTTGGGCCCATTTTAAGGTTAAACCTTGTAGACTGTTTAGACTTTTTGACTTCTTAGACTCTGAAAAATCGTATGCCAAGAAACTTGATACCTTGAGAGAACCCTAGATCTAGAAAGACCTTAGCTTTAGGCCATTAAACATGCATCCTTTAAGTTAAGAAAGCCATTAAACCAAGCCAGGGCTCAAAACCTAAAGAGAAACAAAGAAGATGCACGACATAAACTCAATCGGTTCTGATACGAGCGAAGCCTCGAAGCCTCGGGAGTCCTAGGCCAACTGACCCGATCTGGTATATTTTACATTTCTTGCACTTCCTTCTATTTTTTTATTTATTCTATTAGAATTAAATCAATTTTAATGCATTTTAAGTACTATTTTGTATTTTGGATCAATGTTGGCTTTGCCACTGATATGAGAGTAGATATGCTCATTTCTGAGTAGATCTAGCCGTAGATCGGAATTTGATTATCCCCACTCTCTATTACTCTTAGAAAAATTAGTTTGTGGTTCAAATGTGGTCGAATCTCATATTGATCTCGTCTCGATCTGCATCAAGAACAGTTTAGCGCCCACCGTAGGGCATTTCGAGCTAGATTCGAGCATAAAATACGAGCTTTACTTCACTATTTTTTGTTGTTTCTGCGCCAAAAGGGCCCAAAATTGACTGTAAGAGCAAATATTTTGTTAAGAAGCAGGTTCAGATCTAAAAATATTTTGTTAAGAAAAAATATTTTGTTAAGAAGCTGGCTCAGATCTAATCCTCATGATTTTTATTTTATTTTATTTTATTTTATTTTGTTTACATCCATGATTTCCCTTCTTTCTTCATGCTCAATTCAACCTTTATTATGAATAAAAAAGAGAAAATAGGAAAAAAAAAATTGAAATTGAGGGTTTCTTTCACCCTCTTGTAATTGTGCCCTGATCAAGTCATCCTCGACACGGGCCACACTCGGCTAGGCACGGACTGTGCTTGGTTCCACTTTCTATAACTGGACATCTTCTACCCCCACACCTGAACTGTGCTTTTGGTCGGTCAAGACTTCGACTCAATTCACACCTCACTTGGCACGATTTGTGCCAAGTGCTCATATTTCTTTCTTTCTTTGTGCTTGCTTGTGCCATTTTATTTTCACTTGCATGTATCTTTACACACCATTGCACACAAGAAGCCTGGGAAACCAACAAATTTTTTGAAAACCCCCCAAAATTTGGCATTAATTGTCGTGAGGGGAACCTAGCTTTGAGAGCCAAGGCAGTTGAGATGATCGTAACTTTAACAGTGAGCGCCCCTCCGTAATCTTTAGCCTCAAAGAAACTCCACCCATAGTAGGACTTGGCTGATACCTTTAACAAGTAACCAAGACCTATGTGGGACCCACTCAACCTAACCGCATTTATGTAGTTAGAACCCACTCAGACCTAACCTACCCATAGTTTAGGGAAAAGTTTTCGAGTGCTTTCTTTGCTTATTATAGTTTATTAGTCTTAGATCTCAGTCCAGATCGACTTTTGGTCCGAGATGAACCCCGTTGGGTCCGAGTCTAGGCTCATACTCAGCCCAGCCCAGGTTTGGACCAGGTTAACAACTAGGGTCGAACCTAGTCTCCTTCTTCGTGCGAACCAAAGCTCACACCAAATCTCACCTAGATCTCAATCCGGGTC